TAATACAACCATTTGTGTATTGACTGTATGTAGTTGCCTTAGCATCTTGAAATATATGCGTTTCTCCCAGTCCATGCTACTGGAAAATTTGTTAGATTCCATCAGGAACATTTAAAAAACGTGCTGTCTAAAATATAAGGAACTAAAGAGACTGTTATATTAAATAGTATCGTATATTCCGTCTGATAAAATAAATAAATGTTTAAGTTTGTATTCACGTCGTTAGTTTCAATAGCAAACTCATCAGATTTCCATTATCCCAATAGGAAGGAAAACCAAAATATTTTGTAAATTTCCTTATTGAAATATTAACAAAAAACTTTTATGTTTTTGAATTCTCTAAACATATTTTATTTTAACAAATTCTGCTCATGAAAATGTCTAGAAAACGTTTGTCAAAAGAGAATTAATTAATTATTGGGGTAGAGTTTTTTTTTTTTTTTTTTTTTTTATACGTATAATAAGAACTGTATCTAGGATACAAGCATACGAACCGCTTTCGTTTGCTTGTATTTGAGAAGGTTTGGGAAAAAAAAAAAAAAAAAAAAAATAGAGAAAGAGGGAAAGAGAGGTTTAAAAGTTAATATATCTTATCATATGAAAAGGATAAAATGTATTATAGAACTCAAATTTGAGATTAAAATCGATATGGACGGCTTTGCCTGTAGTCCATGTTTAATAAATATGTGTATATAACCTACATATCTACAATAAGATCTATGTATATTCCAGATTATAAAAACTTCTAAACGATAGACATTGTTTTTCAGCGAAAGTTAACCCTATAACGAAAGTAAATTATCGTTTAGTAATCATAGTCACCAAGAGATGGCACCACATCCCACTGATGATCGTTTGCATTTTACAGGAATAGCGATTAACGAATTCTACACTTCAAGAACTTCGACAAAGACATTTTTGGTAATTAATTAGTGAGCAGTTCTGAACAAAAAATAATGATATGTATTTATATTTTTTTTAAATCAATACTATAGGTATTTCACTATTCTATCATTACCATTTGCAACACTGTCTCATGACATTCAGGTGCAGAGTGACTTCTCAGACCTTTTCATGCTGAGCTAATAATATGTTGGACTCTTGAAGCTACCCTAGTGTAAAGTTGAAACCGTGTCCGATCATTATATAAGATTTGTATGCTTACAAATATGATTTATACCCAATGGAGTGACCTAGGTGCAGTACAGGATTTACGCATAAGCTACAAACGCTGTGCCCCCCCCCCTCGAAAAAATTTAAGTGTAAGAAAAGTATAGTATTAAAATATAGTATAACAGACTTTTAAAGGGCCTAAAATCTCAAAATAGCTCAGGGCCTTATTAAGTCTAAATCCGGCGCTGCCTGTACGTCTTCTAGCCACATTTATACCAGTTTTAAAAAATTATGATGTATAACAATTATATTTTTTAAAACAGAAACAATTTTTAAATATTTGCATAAATCACAGAACATTTTTTATTGTTGGCACAATTATTACTGTTTAGCAAGGATTTGCGTAAAGCTCAAGCGTTATTCTCATTTATAAAGTCTGAAATGAGAACTAACATCAAATAAGGCATAACTCCTTCGAAAGGAAAAATATCACCCTACTTTCAAATTTGGGTTTCAAACCTCTCTCTCTTTTTCCATCTCCACATACTGAAAATTTAGCAGTTGGAAATTTAGTAGTTTGATCATTTGACAGTTGAAAGAATATTTTCGAAGTGAAAGCGACATCATATTTTGTATAAGCTTTGGTTAATTAATTTTTGTTGCATTCTTTCGATTTTAAATATGCTAGAAAGCCTAACAAACGTTTAAAACGTTGCCTTTCGGTTAAGCGAACAATGTAAGTTTCACTTACTTTAACACCTTGAATTTCAGTATATGATCAAATTTTTCAAACATTTTTCTTTAAAACATCTTCATTTTTTCCCCTTAAATTGATGATATTTTATAAATAATGATAATTTCTTGAAACTTTAAAAATTCATTCAAACATATCTCTTCACATCCTACATTGTTAAAATAGCCACTCTCTTCAGATTTTTTTTTTTTTGGGGGGGGGCGTTAGCCTTAAATATTATTTGTTTCTTTCTTTTTCCCAAAAGACTGATGATCTTTTTACTTTCTCAATTTTTATTTTACAAAACATAAATCGACGGAAATAGCAAGCACAGATAACTTTCAAGCGATAAAGTGTTAAAAGCGGAAGTTCTTTGTTAGATATAGCTGTAGATTGGCGCCAACAAGCGTTATCTCTTTCTCGAGGAGCAGACATATGGGAATCTCTTACAGGTGAATTCGACCTCACATGTGGCAGACTGCGCATGTTAAGGTCCAAATTATCTAATATTACTGATCGTGTATGGAAGGATTGCGGACATATAGCATCATTGTGAATAGTAGTAAAATTATTAAAAGTATATAGTAGTTAGAGCTTGTTTGGGTTATTAGTAAAATATTTCAACCCCAAAATGGCTACTAAAAAACATAAAGTCGATTCAGAGTACCGTGCTTAATGATGAACGGACCTGGAAATAATTTTTTACAGTTGTAAAAGACAAACCAGTGTGTCTCATCTGCAATGAAGCAGTAGCAGTCTTCAAAGAATAAAACATTTCCCGTCATTTTCACATCTAAGCATAAGAATTCCAGTTACGAAGCAATGTCCGAATATGAAAGAAAACACAATGCAAAAAATGTTTTTACAAAGTCTTTGTAAAAACTTATGAGGCCAACAAAATTTTCCCAAGAAGGTAAACAGTATCCGAGAAGCAGCTACACATGCAAGTTACGTTGTAGCGTACAATATTGCTAAAATTAATAAAGCTCTCAGTGATGGGGAGTTCGTTCAACAACGCATGCTCCAAGCTTGTGATGTTTTATGTCCAGACAAAAAAAAAAAAAAAAAAAAAAAAAAAAAAAAAAATTGAGACTGTAAGCTTATCTCGAAAAATGGTGACTTCTAGAATCGAAGACATCGATAAAAGTTTGGCATCACAATTTAGAATGAAACATTGGTCAGCTTAAATTTTGCTCCATAGCTAGATACTGCTAAATTAGTATTAGTTATAAGAGCTATTGATGAGAACTTTGAAATTAACGCGGAACTGGCGTGCATGCGTTTTTTAAGTGGGACTACAATGGGATGTGATACTTTTCATGAATTTCAGGAAGGGCTTTTAACTTTGAAAGTGCCTATAACAAATATATGTAATATTACAACCGATGAAGCACCAAACAGGAGAGGGAAAAAAAAGTCTGGATTTCTTAGATTCTTTAATTGAAACTATCACGTGAACTGTGTTGTTTTTCTACACTGTACTATACATCAAGATGCTCTGTGTAAATCTGCATTGAATATGAAACCCGTGCTTGATGCAGTCGTGAAGCCTGTAAATACTATTCGATCTCGTGGGCTTACTCACATGCAATTTTGAGATTTTTTTCACTCCGTGCAATCTGAATACTCTGATGTACCGTATTACACGAAAGTAAGGTGGCTTAGTGGAGGATGTGTTTTCGAGCGAGTTTGGCAGCTGAAAGATGACATTGTGTCGTTCTTCCATGAGAAACAGTCTTCTGCGGAGTGCGAAATGTTAGAAGATATGAATGGCTTTCGGACTTTCATATTTTACAGATCTTCTTTGTCATATGAACAACTTGAATGTCAAGATGTAAGGGAAAAAATCAATTTATCGACGATATCTGGGGCCATCTCAAAGCTTTTAAACTGAAACTTAATCTTTTTACTGGGCAGCTAGCTAAGAACGACTTGTCTCGTTTCTCGAGGTTAAATTCAATACCCTTAGCAAATGTAGAGAAGCTCAAGAATTATGAAAATTATTTGAAAAAACTGCATTTTGAGTTCGAACGCAGATTTCACTGCCATTCAAAAAGAACTAGATATCTTTTCCATGCCTTTCAATGTAAATTGTGAAGCAGTGAGGTCAGATTTGCAGCTTGAATAAAGTAAGTTGCAATCTAACAATCATCATCTCAAGCAGTTGTTTCTAAATACACCAAAGTTAAAGTTTTACAAATCATTATCGAAAGTAAGTTTGTAGAGACATTAGGATTTTTTGGAAGCAGAAGAAATGAAAAATTTGCAACGCCTTCGCCGGGAATCGAACCACGGACTTTCCAATTACGCGCTGAGCGTGCAGACCACCATACCACGAAGGCATGCCAAGAAGATGGGAGTAATACCTTATAAGTTTCCCAAAATCAGTATCTCACTCCCAGAAAATCAGTGCTATGTTTGCTTCATCTTATATATGTCAACAAGTGTTTTCAACTGTGAACTTTAAAACGAATTATTTCAGAAGTAGACTGACAGATAAGCATTTAGCCTTGTTCCTTAGAATCAGTACATTTCACTTCGAAAGTCAATATAAGGAACTTTTAAAAATATTTAAATTGCGATACTTGTATATTGTTTTAAAATTTTAGAAAAATTTATCTTGGCCCGCCAATTTTTTTTTTTTTCTATTTTTGGCCCGCGACAGAAAACGTTTGCCCATCCCTGATCTAAACGGTTAGCAAACCGCATATTTGTGAGGGGAATAAAAATAAACGCCGCAATTTCTGTTAGATAAATGCTGTAAAATTACTGCTTGTGAGGTTCTAGCAAAGGCAGAACTTTTTTCTTCCAGAAAGAATATATTCTTTATTAACAAATGTAATCATTCTTGGGGGAGGGGGAAGCTTGCACTAGCGGTTAAAAAATACAAGTTCGAAAACGCTTCCATTTTCCTTTTCACTATAAAAATTAAAATTTCAAAATATATCTATATTTTCAACCTTACTCAATTCTAATTATGGTGTATGTAGAACTGATTGAATTTTGTCTAAACTTGCAGTAACTTACCACTTAAAATATACAAGGCTAAAGTTTGTAAATAGCCAAAATTCAGTTAAAAGCTCTCTCTGGGGGAAAAAAAAAAAAAAAAAACTGATTTGTAGAATGCACAAAAATAAAAACACAGCCCACAAAATTTAATTAACAGTTTTATTACAAATAATATTCGACATCTGAAAGACCAGAGACATTTGCTCATTTACATTACAGAAGTTAAAACAGCACCACAATACTTAAAAAAAAAAATAAAATAAAAGGGGAAGATTAGGAATTTCTGTAACAGATAGAAGTACACAACATCATTTAATGTTATTTACTTATAGTTTAAGAACTTCCAGTTACAGAATGTGATTGTAGAATACTGATTTTTAACCAGATAATTTATATTTATATACTATACATGAAGATTAAGTCTCTCGTTTCAGTAATTGATATTTGTGTAGCATTAAAGCCACAGCTAACCACCCTTCTAATCTTCTTTCCAAAGAATTAAATTTTCTTATACGGTTACATACACGGCGTCTTCTCTTATATTTGTCTCATTGCCTCATTCAAATTAGCTAGATTATATGAATCTGTTCAATTTATGAATTCCAATAAATACTTTAGATATTGACCACTACCTGTATTAATAAATGCATAACAAATGTTTCAAGTGATATACGATAGGAAACTCACAATCTTTGTGATTAACAGAAAACGATACAACACTGTTGTGATATTCACAATGAACGTATACATATGTCATGTGATAACTCTCAACTTTTTATCAAGGTTTGTAAGTCTCTGTGATATGCAAAATAAGAGTTTTTTCACTGTAGGCTGTTTTGCCACTCTTTATAAGTTAACTTCAGCCCGATGAGACGTCAAATGAGCAGCAGTTCTATGAATTTCACAATCTGATGACACATTTTGTTTAAAGGAAAGTACTTCTTGAACTTCATACAAATACATTAAATATGCCACAACAGATTATGAATAATAACAGGAATGTTTCGAAGTTATAATGCCAACATGACACTGAAGTTCTACGAGAATTCCATCACAATTTCTTGACACATACACGCAACAACGTTTTATCAATGAATTTAGGTAACCAGTAACTCAATAACAAGCTTTCAATACTCTTTGAATGAATTCTCCTATTGAGTACATTCTGAAATCGTTTAGGAATATTACATCTCGTCACAGTGTCGATTATCTTCTATTTCAGAAGATTACAATAATTATTTGATAAAATATTTCAGAACAGAGTTAAAGAAATTAATGGCATTCCATGAAATAAAATGCTGCTTTGCAAATCAAATTCCCTTATTTAACGTAACATATTTGGAGCGTAGAATCTTTTTTCCCAGAGTTATTATCCGGAAATTATTATTGATTATTATTAAATATGACCTTATCTTTGGTAAAATATCACATATTTCACAGGAATCAGTTTCCATTATAAGAAAATTAACCATCGAAATAATAATAAAAAATTAACATGTAAATAGAAGAAATCAGTTATGATTTTGGAACATTTTCTTCTTACACACATGGAAACACAACACAGTTTTCTATTTTACAGATTTCATTAATATAGTTATGAAAATAATAATTCAACTGAATTTTGAGATTTTTAATAAAACTCTTATGGCATCATCTTGTGCTCAATCACTTACTTAAACATTTTCTTATAATTGTCAAAAATACATTCACAAAAAAAGATAAAGTTTCATTCTGTTAGTAAATGAGTAAAGCCAATTTTTAATGAAATGAACTGAATAAAGCGTGAATATTTATGCAGAAAATTAGCACACGAAATTGAACTAAAATAAATAATGTTAATAAAAAAAGAAAAAGGAAATGAAATAGCGTTGATATGCAATGACTTTATATGACGTTTTTATTGGTGTTCCGTGAAGTTCTAAATTCCTAGAGAGAGCAGTTGTTCGAATGAATGGCAGCATCCTCTAGCGAGGAATGATTTTTCGTCTGCTTTATCACGTTCGTTCGTCTTCGAAGGCTCGGTTGTCTTTCGACGCTGACCGACCTCTGGCGAAGACTGGAACGACTGAAATAAACCAAAAAAGGTTTTGGTATAAATGCAGTAATCAAACTACCTTAATTCTTGGTTTATATCAACAACTGAATTAAGAACTTTGTCACTTTTTAAGGAAATTAAATTAATTAGAGCTTTACATAGTAGAGAAACAGAAAGAAAATATAGTGGCATTATTTAAGAAAAATTAAGTGGTTTTAAAGACCATTCTCAATGCACTTACCATTCTTATCGCTTCGGAAACAATGTCAAAAAACTCTCACAGAAAAATCAGTTGTTAAAATATTTATTCCTCGGACAGAAACAAAGTAAATTCTTTTCAAAAAATATTTTATTTCAGGGGCTAATGATATAATACTATTATTATGGAAAAATAGAAACTGGCGTAAAATAAGCAGTCAGAGGTTACGATTAGAATACTTTTACTAAATGTGTGCTGAAATTTGGCTTTTCTACCTAAGAAACTGAGCTGAGAATAATTTAAGCAACTAACTTTAACTGGCAACGGAAATCAAACGCACACTTAAAATTTCAATTTATGGTGCAAGCATTTGAAATCGGGACGGATTTTAGAACTGATAGTTCGCAAGGCTGTAAATCATGTAGGTAAAAAGCACAATTACACAAAAATTTGTTCCCGATCATTTGATTTCAAGATGATATTTCAAAGCAGACCTATATTAAAGTATAAACTAAATTACAGTGCCCGTTGTTACGTTATACCTCTTCGTAAGAGTAAAATGGAGCAACAAAAACTATTAAATTTTAAACCCGCCTTAGAAGAAGTTCAGCGAAAGTGTCTTATCACGGAGAAGGAAGTATAAGGGGAAAGTGCCTTTCCTTTACTTAATACTATTATTACTCGCAAGTACTTTAAGTACTTACTTAAAGTACTTACGAGTGCTATAAATATCTTTGAAGTAGAAGAGGACTGCTAGATGATAACAACTTTTCCAACTCATCAAAGAGTGCATTCAAAGCAGGTACGATCAAATAGGCAAAGGAATGTTATCTCTTAAATATGATCCGACTAAAATTCAACTGTTCGTGAGATTTCACAACATGCTTAAATGACTAAGCAAAATTATTCAATAAACACTGGAAAAATGTACAAAAAGGTATTTTCGCTATTGGTTTGGTAACTTTTTAATCGACTTTATTATCAGTTAATAAAGTCTATTAAAAAGGTCTATTAAAAAAAGTTAAATAATGTGAAGTAAACATTAAGTTGTGTGAAAGTTAAACACTGACTTAATTGCCGGCATTCAGAGAAGTCAAACAAAACGACAGACTTTCCAAAACAAAACCAAAATCACCCACAGGTATAAAAAATATCCAAAGAATGATAATTGTCTTTTTTGACAGCAAAGAAACCGAGAAAGAAGAATTCCTGACGATTCAAAATACAGTTTATTGCTACCTTTTATTTCAGTATTCCGAAAACCTATTCATCTTCTTTGCAGGACTGGTTTTCAACATAGGAGCGAATGGAACTTGCACAACTTAAATTTAAAAAATTTCATTTACTGCAAGAAACATTTACCTTCATATAGGCTAAAATCTCAGGAAATTTGGAGACCTGGTGAGAAATGCGGAAATGTGATGAAACACTTTGAGAGTTAGGGGCTATGGAAAGAGAATATCGTGTGTAGTGCCATAAATTATGTCGCAAACATAATTTATGGCACTGCACACAAAGACAAAAACCTTTACGTGGGTTTACGTACGTTTTTATGACCTAAATAACAATATAAAACAATTAAGAACAAAAAAGTTTATAGAAAGTTAAGTCAATACTTTAGAAAAAAAAAATGTAGTAAATTAATATGGAAAGAACAACTAAGAAATAATTTTCCGAATGTCCAAAATATTTTCTGTCGTGCCATTATTAGCCAATATTAAAAAGATAACTTTTAAGAATCTAATTTATAGATAGAAAGGTAAAGTTCGAGAGAGAATTAAACAGTGCACCTAATTTCAATTATATAATTAAACTTCTTTTATTCCAATGTTAATTAAAACTAAATTACATATTTTTAGTGCGTGTATGAAAATTACAGAATTAGCAAACAGCTTCTGACGCAAGTGCTACAATATAAAAAGATGTAAAAAGCTGCAAAGAAGGAAAAATAGAACGGTGAATTTAGTTATTATGGCTTTGTTATTTAAACTGTGAAATAATTAAAGTAGCAGAAAGATAATAAGTGCATGAAAGGAACGTATGTGCTGAAGCTTTTCTTAAAAGTTTGGCTTAACAGTTTAATGCCAATTGAGGAAATTGCTCAATCAGAAAATATATAAAAACTGAACTTACGCGCAAAAGAGAGAAGTTGATAGACACATGTGTTGCTCTTAGTCGCGCTCTGGAGAGCTGCATAGAAAAAGGAAAGAAAAAGAGAGAAAGAGAAGTGAAGAAAGCATACCAAAAATATAGTACATTTAATGGAGTGCAGAGGCGGATCCAGAAAGAAAGAGAAAATGGGACTGAATGAATTAATTTTTTTTTTAATTTCTACAGTCACATTTAATTATTAAGTGCTACATAAATTTTAATGCAGACATTATAGTGTAACATATTATTAATTTTTTTAGTAGTAATACAGAAAGAAGGGGAACGTTAAACATTACTAAAGATTTATTCCCACCACTGTCTTCCTTCGTCAAAGAATACTGCATTAATGCATAAAATCGATTCGTGTTATACTGCAATTCGTGACAATGAAAAGGAACGTTACGTTATATGATCGTTTTATAGTGTTGTTTGAAACTCGTCAAAAAATAATTTATCAACGTTATTTTTCTAATACTCTGAAAATTAAAATATAATTGCGATTTAAATTATTTGTAATAAATTAACAAATGATTTAAAATTTTGTTAATTAAAAAATTCCTATTTAAAAATTTATTTTTATTTGACCTATAAAAATATTTAAAAAATGAAATAATTATTTCTGATTCCATAAAAAGAAATCAGTATTTTTTTGATTAAACCATCCTTAAAGAACTTGTCAGGGATTTCTATTTTCTTGTTTCTTTTTTAAGGTGATATACTAAATGTGATTTATCATATTTTTAAAAGTTTTTATCCGTATAAAATATTGCTTTGCGTTTCCTTCTCCTTGGAAGAAATTACGTAAGATTCCAGTTTCTTGAATCGATTATTGATACATGAGGCTGCTATGTATCTTTATCAGAAGAATTACTGAAATGAGAATTTAGCAAGCAAGTTTTTAGATAAATAGCCTTCATATTCACTACATCTTGGACAAGCCACCCTGACTGGTGAAACGGTTAATGCTCCAGTTCGACTATCGGGAAGTCTTTGATGTTCGTATAGTGTCTGCGAGGCATGATGGCACACAGAATACTGGCGAGCTGGAAGTCCTGTCGACAGGTTTGATAAAAAGTGTACAAGACGCTCAGATCCGTCGCCCATCCATTAAATTGGGACTGAATTTCCCCGTTCTCGGGGATGCAAAATCTGTCGCTCCTGCTGGTGCATCTTGAGCAATGTTCTCAATGATGAGACGGCTAAATGACCGATGGGTATTGGCCATTCCCGACGAAGGTAGTAAGTTACAAACGCCTGGCTATTTGAAAAGAGAACATCTTGGACATTTTCACGAAATGCAGCATAATTGTCAAAGGTAAAGTTTTTGGAATATTTCACGCGTTTAGTTACTAGATTTTTTACAGAAATTAAATGCTAGACAACAACAGAAACTTCAAGAATTTCGCTGTTTGAAGCGAACAGGATTCAAGTAAATTTGTTTTACTACGAAAATACAAAACCAGAGACAGCATTTGCCACCAGTTACACATCAATAGATTAAGTTGGAAGATATTATCTGGTTTTTGAGATGGGTTCACCTTTCTATTTCTTTAGACAAGAAAGGGCAATGGGCTTCGTTTGTAGAGCACTGAAGTTCTGTTATGCAGAAGCTGTTCTTCAAACCTTTATTTCCGAAACCAAACACGACAACTAAAAGTGCTGGAAACAAATAATTATTAATGACAAGAATTATGTATTTGCACACAGGAGCTAATATGGTTTTGTACTCGTATTAAGAACGTTTGCATACATTTGATACGTATACGGTTAACAAAAGGATAGTATTTACTAATTAGTGTTTATACGAATACTACGAAATTACAAAACCAGGGACGAATTAACTTATACTTTTAAGATCTTACTTATTTCAATACTGAAGATTCAGCAATTATTTTGGGTAAAATGTGTAGAATCTGCATGCTGTGCAAAAGACTATTTAAACATTGAAATACAAAGAAAATTTTATTTAAATTATATTTGAACAGATACTAAGGAACGAAATATTTATGTGTAGAAACATTGAATTCAGATCAACATGATTTCGATCCGAGAAAATATGTAAAGAAGTGAAGGTAGAGATTTATAGTTAGTACTCTAAATTACTGAATATCCTTAAATTGTTACATACATTATCATGTCCTTGAATGAATAATTTCAGAGGATTACGATTTGTTTACGTAATATTTCGTTATTTTTTGCATCTGTATGGAATTTTATATTTCTTACTCATACAATACGCAACTGAAAAGAGTTTATCGAATCATTCCAGTAATTCAAATTTGATGCATTAATGAGATAAAATGATTTATCGTATAGCTGCATCAAGTCGCATAGCATATCACGAGTCACATTTGCCGACCTGATGATGTTTCATATTCAAAAACAGTTTTGTGGCGGTAATATATTACAACAAGGTGATGTTAACAAAACTATCATCTTGTAAGATTTTCACTGTGTAAATCTCAGTTACTGTAGAAAGTGACGAATCTTAAGAACTAGTTAGCGAATAATCGCTTAAGTTCGTGTGACAAGAAACAACAAGACGGAAGGGTAACTAACCCTTTATTATTCCAATAAGATTTAACAAAACTCCGTCTTGGAGTGTACAATCAAAGCCGACACTTGGGCTTGAACTTAAGAGACTAAGAATTAAACTAAAACTAAGATTAACTAAAGAAAT